AACCCAGAAAAGAGTAGAGACTGAGGTGGGGACAAATGCACATGGCTATAAGAAGTGTGATCTCTGTATGGACTAGGAAGGAGAATGGGGGTAAAAGAGACAGGAGTGGAAGAAGGAGCTGAAAACAAGTGGAGATAGAGTAAAGAGTAAGCAAACTGGAACTAAGGGCCCAGGACTGCCCCATAGTCACTCACGATGAACCTCGCCTGGGCACAAGCATGTTAACTGATGAGATAGATGAGAAGCCCCATTCTGTCGCATGGAGGGGAAGCTATGGGATGGTGTCTAAGCATCTGGGGATGTGGGGGAATCACTGTGTGCATTTAAAGAGAGAAAGAGGAGTAATGGAAGGAGTGAAATAACTCCCAACTACTTCTGTGTGTCTATAGTTTTAAAAAGTAGTGGCTTTCTGCACATTTGTCATACGTTTGGTGTTCATATTGAAGCTTATGTAAAGATTCAACAAGTGCAGCCAGCTACAATGGGATAGATATTTATAAGCCTTGGGTCTCAAAGTTGGACCAAAGGAATTGTTTGATTCTGCACTCAGTAATAATATGCAACTTTTGGCTAACCAAAGAATGTTCAGTTGAGTATGCCAGCAGCTCTAGGACACCATTTTACTGGTCAGTTGAAGTACATTATGTTGGAAAGGACTCCACTGCTTATAAGGCAGGTAATGAAATGAAATGAAATGTTATGCTTGGAACATCTGATGTGGCAGCCATTTATCATTAAATATTAATGTGGCTTGCTGTCCATAGGATTCTGTAATATGTTAATTATAAAATAGTACTTTCAGTTCTTCCCTTATATAAAGCCTTTCTTCTCAAAAGGGTCCTCAAGACCATTTATACTGTTAAAAAATTAAAAAGTATAAAACACAGGAAATTAATGCAAACTTGCCTACTTGTTTTTGTTACCACATTCACAACTTCCCATTTGTTAGTTCTTTATTAAAGGTCTGTTATCTCTTATTATTCATGCATTAAGTACAGTCATTAAATTGTTTTTCAATAAGACCCCAGAGTTATTTCCCAGTAGACCTAGAAGAAGTAGTCTTCTACAATGGGTAATATTTTTATTTTTAATTATAGAGGACAGGATTAATTGATTTAAAAATCATTTTGGTTGATTGAAAGAGTGCCACAGTTATATAGTCATTATATTTGTCAAGACCTGAAATAAGGGCCATATCATACAGTTTAGTTAGGCTGTAATTTAACTTAATTATTTCAGTTTAGGAATTGCTTTACCTCAACAGCTTTCCCATAAACTGCTATCTTCTTTCTCACATATTTTATTTCTCCATCCTGTTGGCTGGACTTTTCTGTTCATTACTGTGATGTACATTTCTCTGTCATTAAAGAGATGTTCCAGTTTGATTTATATCCAATTACTCAACAAATAATCCTTGTTTCATATACTGTAGTAAATTCACTGGGCAGCACTGCAATTAAAGAAAAATTAATTGATTTAACTTTATTAGTCACTGATACATTGATACATTTGTTTACATTTGCGTATGGGTAAATGATGTTTCTAAAGCAAGAAGTATACTTCAGTTTTTGCTAATGGGTTTATCAGAGAAAAAGGGAAATGCCGCTTAAAGTGGTGGTTATCTTCAGTTTTTATAACCACTTGTGTTAATATACATATTGCCATGAAATTAATTGGAACACTCTTACTTTTTTTTCCAAATTAGTGAACCTAACCAATTAAGTTGCTAATGTTGTAGCCCTAAAGCAAAGAGTGATGTTTGATTAGGGTGCAGGAAGATAGCACTTACAGTGATCTATTTCTAAATACTTGATGGCATAGATATCTTTGTTTTTTAAAACTTGCTCTGCTTTGGGATACATGTTATTCATGTAAGATAGCCATGGGATGATGCTTTCCTGAGTTTCTGTGAACGCATAAAAATGTAATGTGTGTCAAAACAGCAGTGATTACAAGAATGCTTCCGATCCCCTAGTCAGGATATAGGAATGCTTCAGCCCTTAGTCTATGCATGCTGTGCAGTCTCCATGGAAAGCCTGCTGTGTGCAGCATAAGAATGTCCTGAAGAAACAGTGTTCATCTTTTCCAGAACTGCTTACCAGGCATGTGGTTAGGAACTAGAGAGCCATCCTGGAATATGAAGGGCTCCTGTCTGAACAGGTTTTTATAAATATATAGCTAATTCCCATTCACTGCTCTTTGTAATTATTTCAGCTTTGTGAATAAGCTCACAAAAAGCTAATGGCCTACAGGCTGTTTTACTAGCTTGCTAAGAGGCTTGCAGGCTGAATTTCTATGCTTGCTGGAGAGGAAGGAATGTCATTCAGTAGTGGGGGGAACTTCATTATGTTTATGTCCTGACCATGCTACGCTTCCTATAAAATATAATTACCTACTTCTTAAAAGCAATCTGTAGCAGCAACAAATGGTTGGATGGTCACCATACAAGCATTATCATCTTTTCTGCAAAATAGCTTAATTCCTATAGCTGAGGGGGTTGTGGCTGTTTGTGCTATTTAAATGATACTGAATATAAGCCTGCTTAAACATCTGTATTTTCAAATAGGTATTGTCATTTTATGTAAGTTATTTTATTAGTCTTGCTTTAGTCATTTTTAGTCATTAATAAGTATTGTAGAACATACTCATTTCCCATCTCAAATACTTGATTTTTTACCACATTGACTTTTATAGTTGTGAATAACAAGCATTTAGCCAAAGTCTGAAGACTGAAATAATAATTATTATTTCCATGTATTCTCCTTGCGAGAAGATTTTTGGGTATTATGTGATGTGCTCGTTAGACTTGTAGCTGAACACACACACATTCCAACAAGGTTTACATTCAAGAAATAATTAGTTGTTGACAAATAGAGCATCTGTGGCCCCCCATAAGATTGCCATCCCAAATATCCGCACTCATGCATGGTTGAAGATGGTCTCCTTATTCACTTTTTCCACACGGTATGTAGTTTTGTTCCTCCCTATCATGTTTTCCCTTGTCTTTTTTCTAAGCTAATCAGTCCCAGTGTTGTTGTCACCTTTCCTCATAGGGGAGCCTTGATCACTTTAGCTGCCTTTTTCTACACTCTTTCCAGTTCTATAATATCCTGTAATGTTTTAATGTGGTGACTAGAACTGTACACCAAAAATTTGTGTAACTATGAATTAGTTTCAATTTCTTTCCTAATTATGTCTGACATAAAGTTTGCCTTCTTTACAGCATCTGTAGACTGGGCTGACATTTTCATCAAGGTTTACCCAACAAACCAAAATCTTTTTTTGGTTGGCAAACACTAGCTCAGATTCATCAGCTTATACTTGGTTGTGATTTTTGCCCCGATATGTATCTCTTCACACTTGCTCACTTTGAACTATATTTATCATGTTGATGCCCATTCTCCTGTTTTGATAGATCCTTTTGGAGCTCCTCATAGAAACAGAGCGGGTCAGAAGGGATCTTCCAGGCCATCTAGTCTGGCCCCTGGCTCCAGCCAGCTCCACTCATGAAATACCTACCATGTGCACGTCCAGCCTGTCCTTGAACACCCTCACCAATGGGGCTTCAACCACCCCCTGTAGAAGCCCATTCCATACCTCAGGGGTCCTAACTGTCAGGAAGTACTTCCTGGCATCCAAATTGAACCTTGGTTCACTGAGCTTTGCTCCCTTGGAATGTTCTTCCTCTGCAGCAGAAAGCAGGTCTTGACCCACCTCTGCATGACACCCTCTCATGTACCTATATGTTGCCAACAGATCCCCTCAGGTCTCCCTTTCTCCAAACTGAAAAGACCCAGTTCCCTCAGTCTCACCTCATACAGCTTCTCCTGCAATCCGTCCACCATCCTTGTGGCCCTATGCTGTGCTGATTCTAACCTGACTATATCTTTCCTGTAATGTGGAGCTTAGAACTGAACACAATACTCCAGTTGTGGGTGCACCAGAGTTGTACAGAGTGGCAGTAATACCTCTCTTGCTAAAAATCACCTTTTGTTTTAACCACCCTAATAATTCAATGTTATCAGCATATTGGTTACCTCACTACTTACTGGAGATCATTTATGGGTATGTTGAAAGCATTGATCCCAATACAACCCTCTGTGAGACCCCACTATTTACATCTTCTCCATTGGAAGAAATTGCCTTTTATTTTTACTCTCAGCTTTCTCCTCTTTAACCCCTTGATGATCCACAAGAGGAACTCCACTCTTATTCCTTGATTGCCAAGTTTGCTAAGGATTCTTTCATGAGGGACTTAGTCAAAAGACTTTTAGAAGTGTATGTAATCAAGTAACACTGCTGATAAGTCAGAACAGCATTTGCTGAGTATTTCTGCTCTTCTTTACTTCTACTTATATAACTTAACTCAAAAACAACTTTGTAAGTTTACTAAATAAAGTGAAAGTTGTACTATAAATATTCTTAATATTTGTATATTTGAAGTAAAAATCAAATCTTTGAATTTTCTAAAACTATCTAAATCTCACAACAGACAAGTTAACTAAAGGATAGCTAAAGGTTCTTATAGTTGTATGATTTTTTTTAAAGAAACAAGATGGTTTGTAACACACCTGTATTGTATCCTTGACTGAGGGAACAGAGATCTGGTTTAATAGTTAAACTTTTGCTTTATTCAGAGGCCATTGCACATGCAGCATATACAAATTCAAGATCAATTTTGACAAAAGTTATACTGAATAAAATGCAGTGTTGAAACATAGGAGTTCCTGCTTTATAAAATATAAACTAAGTGCTGTCTAACATTTTTCCCCCTTGAATGTAATTGCATTAAATTAACTGGTTGCTTTTACAAACCATCTAGTTAGTGTTCCTCCATATAAAAACCTTCATTTATATTTCATTGAACAGTTATTGGCATTAACTTTCAAGCTAATATATACACTCAGATAAGAATCCCCAGAAAATAAGAGCATAAACTCTCTGAGTTGTAAGGTTTCTGGCATGTAGATGCACAATAATTTAATTTCTTTTTCTTGCAGAGCAAGCAGTATGGTTTTGACTGCAGAAATGGGGAACTGGAAGACTGCTTATTACCTGCATTAAAATGGATTAATACTAGAGGTAAAAAGGAAAGTTTTTTAATAATATAGTGCACACTCTTGTAATATGCTTGTGTAACTTCCATTGCCTCATTAGTATTGTATCACTAATAGAAAGTCTCTATATCATCTATTGAACTGGCAAATTTATGAACAAAATAATTTCTAATTCTAATGTTACGGTATTCACATTTTTATATTATGGTAGAAATTTAATGGTTATAAAGAGCAACAAACCTACAGATATGATAGAGGTGTACAATACATTACAAAGTATACACATCCCCTTACTGAAATATTTCTGATTAGAGTGACTGCCAGGCAGCCATGCTCTGTCCAAGGAAACTATACCAGTGTGGTGTGGTTAGAATGTACATTGGACTGCATTGGACTCCTTGGAGGAAAAGCAGCATATAAATCTAACAACTAAACAAGCTTAAAGGTACTCAAGCAAGCGAGTTCTCTTTCTGTCTCCCCCTTCCTGCCTCCGGTTTTTTATTATTTCTTGTTATTTTTCAACTCACATCCAACATCTTGTGGCTTCTGAGCATGCATGAGCCTTACTTTGGTGGGAGTACTTAAGGCTTAAAAATTTAATTCTGCATATTTTATTTTGCATGTTTCATTTAAGTATGCTGATACCCAGTAAAGTGTGTTTCCTAGAAACTTTTTAATTGGAAATAAATCCTATGCAAATTAAAATAAATTATGCTTAATTAAGCTAATTTGAATAGGGTCATTTGCATTAGTACAAATTCACTTTGCATTGTAACATTTTCAGCTACCCCAGAAGTGAATTCATGTACCATTAAATGAGCTCTGATTTATTTTACTTGTATCTAATATCCAAGAAAATATTCCATATTATTGTGGGGGGGTGGGTTTGGTACTATGCCATAAAATTAACTTGAAGTAGTTGAAGGCAAAAAATTAAAGCACATTCCACTGTGATTTAAATATTGTATTATTATAAGTATTAGAATTTTTATTGGAGTACTTCTAAAAAGTAAAAGATAATAGTAAAACTGTTGACAATCTTCTTTTCCTGCACCTAAAGCTGCCTAGGAATGCCTCAGCAATTATAGGTGGCCTGTATATATAAATAAATAGAAATATGCATGATATGCTGACACTACTCATCTGTTTCAACAGTTAAACTCTCTTCCACTAAGGTTGTTGGGGCACCTCACTGTCACTACTTTTAATTCCATTGAACTCTGAAATGTATATGTATTTCAGTGAGTCACTCTTTCATTACAGCTTTATAACTGCCAAGCTTACCTAATGTTATATTTTCAGTTGGCATCTATTCAGCAAGTCTACTAAACTTATGAAATGAAGAATTTTCTGTTTAAAAATAAATCAGTAGAAAATTGTCTGTTTTGGAAAGCTTTCTACCTCAATCACTCCCAATAATTTCCTCTTGTCTCTATGGTGGGTCTGTTTTGGCTTCAGTACTCAGCTACTTGAATTCACTGTTAGAGGAGTAGGCACTGTTTTTTGCCTGCTTGCTTAATAGAACTGTGATTCAGCTTTGATTTTAAAGCATAATAAGAGAAAAGCCAGTAGCCTGCCTGGTTTAGACATAATGCTAAATCATGGTTTGCTATGAGATAACATGAGCTACAGCAAACTTCAAGCTCATATACACACCTCTTTTTCTTTGGGAAGGCTGGGAGGAACTTGGGGGAACTCTGGTTTGTTAAGAAGACAGCATTCTAAACCATGGCTTACTTAAACCATGCTTTGAGCTCACTAGAATTTCCCTCAGTTCAGAAGAAATAAGGCACCCTGGTTAGTTTAAAAATGGAAGTGAAGACTTCCAGTTTCTTCCTCCTACCTCTGCCTGATGAAAAGAGGAGGCATCAGTGAGCTCCATGGTTGCTGCTGATGGTACACACAATACTAATTTAGTGCTCTGTTGAGAAACTGCTTATCAAAACAAATATTTTTATTGTGTGATTTAGGTATACAACTAAGGCTCATATATTTTTGTTACTGTGAAGATAGACAGAAGGTAGTGTTTTTCCCTTTCATTACAAACTCTGTACATCTGAAGGCCCACAGGTTGTTCATCCCTGGTATTTTGGATGCTTTCTGTTGTAAGAACAATTGAAAAACAAACATTTTCTTTGCAGCCCTATCCTGCATGTATATTACTTGGAGGTAATCTCATTGAATTTGATGGGGCTAGTTTCCTGGCATGTGTGTTTAAGATACCTACCTTACATAAGTAGATTCTTTTTTCTCTATTCTTCTTTATTGTATACTAGGCCTATGTTGATAAGTTGTTTACCATATTGAACATGCAGGCAAAACTTAAGCATAACATTCTGTCTTCTTTGGGTGGCAGATAGTAAAACAGAAGATGTAACTTAACATTTGCTGAATAAGGACATACTGTAAGAAGTAGGAAAGTTCTTAATGACTCCTGCCAGGTCTCTGTGCATCTCAAATGTCTTGCATTCTTTTTCTCAAGTAAATAAGGTGCTGACAGCAGTTCTTTGGCTTCTGCATCTACATAAAAATGAGTGAAGTACAGGCGATGGTAGAATTCTCCGTGGAGCTCCACAAATTTTATAACGTGGATTTGTTTCAAAGAGGGTAGGTAATTTTTTTCTACGCAATACAGGAGCTGTTGCATTTTATGGTTTACAGTTTAAATATTTGTATGCTCGATGGATGACTGAGAATAGTTGAGACCATAGAACCTTTTTTTACTGCGTATCGTTTGTAACCTTGTTTAGAAGGAATCTAGTGTGAAATAAATTTCTACACATGAGGGAGTATGGACAAAGAGAGGAATTAAAACCATTTTAACACCTAGTATAATTTCATATTTGAAACTTTAAATTTGGGGGTTTTAAATAATTATTTCTGTGGCATCAATTATACATTTAACTCTAATACAACTTAGGCTTTGTTCATTTTTTTGTTAAATATAAATGTTGTACTTGATTGCCTTTTACTTGCTTAGAATTGTGATCTTCACAACAGTGAGCTGGGGCAGAAAGAATTTTTACAACTGAGATAAAATATAAGGCTCTGAGGAAGCTGTCCCAAACCTCTGGACATGTTTGGAATGTATATTATTTTTCTTAGCTGATAAGTGTTGGAGATACATCCATTGGGCAATTGTTGGTATTTAGTTCTAATGTTGTTTCATTGTATGATCGGAGTATGGCTTAAATTGAGCTATTAATATATTGTGGCACAATCTTATGCATGTCTTCTCAGAAATACGTTGCACTGAATAACATACTGCATCTTACCAAATAAGCATATATATGATTGTAGTCTTGCAGTGCAATCCCATATAAACCTACTCAGAAGTATTCACTGAAATCAGATAGGTATGTATAGGAATGCAGTGTTACTGATAAGGTTTTATTGTTTCAGCTTTGTGAAACTCTAACGTAATGTTGGGAATGAAAGAGGCAGTTGTTCTTGGCCCATGTTTCAGGGACAGGGTGACACAGACTCCTTCGATTCAAAGGATGATCCTGGGAAATGAGGCCTCCAGAACAGAGGTGGCAGAGGCAAAAGAGCTTATCTCAAGGCTGCCATCTCCAGGTATTTAGGTAGATCCTGAGAGTCATCAGGCTCTGCAATTGCTGGGAGGGGCATGGGAGAGGAGACAGAGGAGCCTGGTCTGATCTTTAACTGCATGATGCAGTGTCAGGAAAGAAGAGTTAGCCAACTAGAGAGGCTGTGTACAGCTAGCAGGCTTGCCCATCTCAAGATGGATGTGGTCTAGGGTTATTTAAAAGGAGGATTCTTGGAAATAATTTCTAGTTTGGTTCAAAGAACTGCTGCGTGCGGGCTCAGGGACTCTTTCTTTGCTGGCTATAGTTCCCTGGATAATACATTGGAAATAAAGGGCTTGTGCCAAATAACAGCTTGCTGTTTTGAAAGAGAAGGGGAAAATGTAGCTCCTGCCACATAGCTTCTGATTTTATTATTTTTAGTCAAAAATAGTAATTTGTAGATTTTTTTATTTTGTGCCCATAATGCTCATATTCTGAGATGTGAGAATGTTGATAACTGAAAGTGGCAACAAACCATTCAAGCGAAGTTTTGCTTTCAGTTGCTTGTAGTACAGCTGTGATCTGTCATCATAATCCTGTTTGCTCCCATATTTTTACTGTTCCCCCTGCCCTACAAAAAAACACATCTTTGGTATTTTGCCATAGAGATTGGGTTTCCTTAGGGTTTTTTTTTTCTTTTAAAACTAACAACAGAAAATGACAGGCTACTTTATGCTAAATCACTCACACTGAATTCATCCTGTTATGTTGTTTGCAAGTTAGGTATTAATTGCTCAATTAGGTACTCACATCTTCTTTTTCTGCTTTCTTGGAATAAATGACACCTGAATTGTCTTGCTTTAAAATATGTTTCAATAAGTAGAAGACATTTGTAGATTTCATAGGTCTTGTTCCTGATATATTAATTCCCCTTTGAGGGTTTTTTTTTCTTCAGAAGCAATTCTTTAAAATTCTTGTTGAAATGCTTGTTCTCATTGCTTTAAAAGCATTGAAAGCTGTACAACTAATAATGAAGGGGCAGCACATTGTAAAACCTGTATTGTTAATGGAAGTTATCAATATATAACTTTAGTTGCCAGTTTCCTCTTTGCTTTAGAAAGCTGAGGAGCTCCCTCTGGTTCTCCCCACAAATTGTTCTTATATTGATTGTTACAACTAGGTTTATTCAAAGCTTTAAGCAAATTTTACATTAAGAAAAGTATATACTTCCATCCCATCAGAGTTAACAAAATAAGAATGTATTTTAGAATTGGCAAGTAGCTCTAGTTACACTAAACATTAATATTTTCTCTGTGTTACCTTATATGTGTTGCTTTGTAGCTATTGCCCTAAGTGGACTTGTTAGTCAGAGTGAGTTATCCTGCCAGAAAAATACCTCTTCAGTATAAAAGTATTCTTTTGTTTTTTAATAGTGCCCAGTGTAATGGAAATACTGTAAATAAGGCTTTTCAGCAGACTTGCAGTATCATATCCTATTCTGTAGTCTGGATATACTGGAGCTTAATAATCTCCAGAAATTCCAATATAGTATGCAAGGGAGGAGGGAGCACATGGGTGCACAATTCTCATTTCCAGTACAGTAAAACGTGAATAAACCAAAATAATTCCATCTGAATTGTTCCTTTGCTATCCTGTTTCAGTATGATGTTGCCTTTCTGACTTCTGTGTTCATGTTGACTTGGCAGATGTTTTGATCTGTCATGAGCTTTACTGTCATTTTCATTGATAGAGCATTGTATACCATGTTATGCCTGGTATTTTAAATTCTCATTTTCCTTCATGGGCCATGGAATGCTGATAAAATGCTGAAAAAACTTGTTAAGTTTCACTGGAGGCATCTGGAATGAATAAGATGAAGTCAGAGAGTATATTTGAAGACAGCATGTTCAGCTAACAGTGCTGGAATTTCTGTGTTCTGTGTGGCTTGCTTTGCTCAAAATACTAAGATTAAATCAAGAGTCAACTCTTATTCTGGGAGTAAAGCATTAGTTGATAAAGCGTGTCATCCTGTGCATGTTTAGACAGTAAATAGCCCTGCAACTCTCAGCATTCCCCAGCCAACTGTGCTGGAAATTGTAGGACTTTTTCTGGCTAAAAATGCATAGCATTGTGTCTTATTTAATTAAATGATTTTTTTTTTGTTTTCAGTCCCATATCCTTACCTATAACAGTTCTTACAAAAATTACAAATATAATTTCCACATTATAATTTAATATGCAACTACTTGCTGTAGTTAGGCTGTTATTTCAGAGGTCATCAGTAGAATTTTAACTTGTTGGCATACTTGTCCTGAGTTGACCTTTGTCAGTTGATCATATTAGGATTATCTGAAAGTACTTATGTATTAAAAACTGCATTATGTCATAAAGTAGAAACAGTAATAGAGTTATCACAAAGTCATCGGCCTTTATATTGTTTAGGACTTTAGGTAGTGATATATGGATTAAAGTGAACACATGAGCTTTTAAGTTTTTCCAGAGCTAAGGATTAGTAGGCCAAGAAACAGTGGAATATAAATGAAGGAATCCTTAACCCTTGCAATATAAACTTAGATGCTTGCCTGTAAACCCACTTGACTAACCTGTGAGAAGAAAGAAGCATTTAGTTGAGTGCATACTAATAAGATACTGAAGTGTACAAAATAGGTTGGAGGTTTGCCTAGTACTTTACTGACCTCATTTATTTAATTGCTTACGGTCATCAAGCATTGATGCAGATGCAGACATCTCAAACATCCTTACACAGGGAGGAAAAAAGTTACAATAATTCTGTTAAAAGAATAAAATACTAACCTGATGCCAGATGCTAAAATGAATTTACCATCTTTTATCTGATCCTACAAGCCAGAACTCAAAATTTGTGACTTCAAAAGTTATTTAATTCCTCAAATCTGACATAGGAAATTTGTGTCAGAATATATGGATGATAATATGCAATTAAAATTATTATGATGCACAATAATAATGTTAATTATATGTATAATATAATAACATGTGTGCTTGTTTTCTCCTCTCTTAATTGGTGTAGGCAAATATGTTGGGAGTAAGAGTTATACATATATCCCCATTCTACTAAAGTTGATGGTAAAGAATTAAAACAAGGTAAAGCCTAAGCCATATTTTGAGATTTCCAGGACTTAAAAATAATCTTGATAAGCAGAGTATTTATTATGATTCAAAGAGAGAAAGTAATGTCTCTTTGGGCAAATTCTGTAATTCATTTATTAATAGTTTGGCCTTTGTAAACCCCTGTCTAAAAAGGCTAAAGGAGAAAACCCATAATAATCTAGTAGCTCTTCAACCATACCTGCTTATACCGAAGTCAGATTACCTATTAAAATTGGGAGCTAATCATGGAGTCATACACTTGGAAGCGGCCTGTCAAGCCATCAGGGCCAGCCACCTGCCCAGTGTAGGACTCAAGTCCAGATTGCAACCTGGCCTGACCCTGCTTAGCTTCCAAGATTAGGCAGAATCAGGCACTCCGGGCTATATGGAAAGCTACATTCCCTAGTCCTTGGGGAGTAAAGTAAGCCAAAAACTAATTATATTTATCCGTGTTTGTGCTTCAATCCAGCTTCCAATCTGAATAAAGAAAGCAGTCCAACTAAAATACACAGTACAAGCCAGGTTTAGGAATAGCTTGAGTCTAGCTTGATGACTGTGGCATGAAGTTTTGTGGAGAAGAGGATGGCCAAGTCTTCAGTTCTTCTTCAACTTTCCCCTTTAACATTCTAAAAGCATTAGGAACAAGTCCAGCTATTCTCACCAGGGTCTGTGCCCAAGTTTCTCAAAGCAATCTTATGTCATATGCTTTGAGTCATAAAGAGTCATCTATATACTCTTTAAAGAGATGTCTGACTTGTTTGATGTCCAAACAGTTATGTTCCAGAAAATAAGTTTGATGCACTTGAAAGACAAAAATTGTGTGTGAGAGGTCTTATATTATTCCCATATGGTGAGTGTTTAAAAGGGTGTCCCAATAGATTGTTCCATTTCTGCTCATGTGGGAAAATGGGCAATTGCTCACCCTCAGCTAAACCAGCTGTATCTTCA